CTTTATTCGGCCTCTTTCCCTTTATTTGGCACATAGCTGAGAAGTATGTGAAGAGAAGTAAAGTTTACCACTCCCTGAGATGAGAGAATAAAATGTTTTGAAAAGCAGCTGATGGATATTAGGTACAAGTTCCATGAGTTCAAATATATTGGCAAGAAAGATAAAAGAGTAAACTTAAATTCCTGTTTTTTTCACCAAATTATTTGTTGTCTTATATTCTTTTTCCAAGTTTAATACAATGTACGTGGACAGACTATGTTGTGAAGTAGTCTTAAACAGTTATGACCCAGTTTCCACTCGGCAGTCCGATTGCCTATACTTCTGAAACAGCTATAAACCTAAACACAAGAGTGTTTTTGAGCCTGAAGGGAAGCAGTCAACAGAAGCAGTCCATTTCAAGTACAAGCAGGGGACAAAATGTTCCTTTATAGGAACAAAAGTATAGTTTACATTTTACAAGTGTACTCAACTCCAACTTAAAACTAATTCCCTAAAAGCATTTAGCTGTTTCTCTGAATCAAAATATATTTGGTATATTATTTTTTAAAAAAAAAACATATATAGCCTCAGCTTTTGAAAAATTACAGTTGTTTCTGATTCCATCCATTAGTCTATCTTTGGATTAAAATGAATTAAGTGTTCTCTTAAATGCCAGGGATGGTGGTGCACACCTGTAATATAAGTATACAGGAGGCTGAGATGTATACAGATGTTTACAATATACAGAAGAACCCTGAGATGGAATTGAGCAAGAGCCACCTAGTAAGGGTGTCTAAAAACTAAAGAAGAAAAAGTGTTCCTCTATTTGTGCTACAGGGTTAGGAGTCAGGGCAGGACCCCGAGACCTTTCTCTAGTCCATAAAATCTTGGTGAAAAAGCCACAGGGGCACATGGGAAGGGTAGTTTCTTGAAAAAAGCTGTTACCTTTAATCACAGGGAAGAGGAAAGACAAAACATGCCAAGAAGGGAGGCTGCTAGTCTATCCAGTGGTAGCTACTTTCTAGAGTCTCCTTGAACGAAAACGTCCCAGGCTAAACAAAACTAGGAAAGCAGTGTACAGAGCTGAGCTTTGGGATGTGTGTAAACATTTATAGTGACTGCTAAAGTTAATTTAAAAAACTAGTTAGAAATTCAGTTTCACTTTTTCCTTGCTAAAATAGCTTCTTAAAAATAAAATGCAACTCCAAACTTACCATTGCTTTTTAGGAAAGATTTATTTTATCTTTTTGTGTCTGTGTCTGAGGAGCAGGGTATATGCATGTGAATACAGGTGCCTGTGGAAGCCAGAGGCCTCGGATGCACTGGAGCTGAAGTTACAGGTTGTTATAAACTACCTGATATGAGGGCTAGGACCAAACTATGCATGATCATTGCTTTTTGCCTTTCCTGAATGTTGGATTTCTTCTTAAGTTTTGAGTAAAAAAAAAAAAAAAAAAAAGATTTCACTACATTCCACTAAGAGAATTCAGTGGCAAGTATTAAGTCACCATAGCAATCTTAAGAAACTGCTCTGAGTACAGTGCCAGGATCATAACCTACCAACAGGTTACCCTTGTTGGCTTTTGTACTGGCCAGCATCCCCTAAGAATGCATGCACACTGGTAAATAACCGGCTGGTCTAAGTTTTGGGTTAAATTGTTGCAGTCAGTTTCCTAAGGCAGGGCCTGGAGTGCATCTGTTTCTACTCAAAAGTGAAGGGTCACAGTGGGGACTGTTAGAATCACTGTTTCTCTCAGACATCATCAGGTACAAAGCTCTGAGACTAGAGAAGCCTGCATGCCTCCCTAACCTTTCCCATTGGTCCTAAATTGAAACAAAGGAAATGTTTACTAAGTACTGTGTATAGACAAGATTTATTTCTTCTTTTAGAGGGAATAGAAGAGTTTTTTTTTTTTTTTTTTTTGGTTAGACATGAACAACTAAAATATTTTCCAGTTTACAAACCAAAAATATTTGATTAGAATTTTTTTTAAATTGTCTACTTTTGGTCTGGAAAAATACAGCTCAGTGGTAGAGTGCTGTATAAGGAACTGGATTCCATTCCCATCACAAGAAAAAAAAACACACCTATTTTCAAAGCAAGTTTCTGGAATTTAATTTCTGCATGTAGTTATGTCTGTTTTGATGCTGCCCTTATTACTTTGTCTTGTGGGAACGGAGGTTAGAGCTCAGCATACCACTTTCCAGAAAAAGTCAATTTCAGGCTCACCAGCAGGGTAAGCTGCATCAGTGCCAGGAACCTGTAGAAACAACTTATCTTTTGCCTCTAGATTGCAAGTTAGTGTTTCCACTGTCTCACACGCAGTTATTGGGCCACATTTTACTGTGGCTTGAATGTAGCTGGCTGCCATTGACATATCTAAAATGTGTATAAATTTTATATAGAAAAGTATCTGGTTTCCTTTAACTATAAGTTATATTTAAAAGCAAGTAAATACCCCACTTGAAATTGGGAAATTATTAATTTCATACTAATGTGTAACTCAGAAATATAATTTATAATGACATTACATTTCAACCTAACATGGTGGTAATAGGTTTTCCGCTGATGCAATATAGGCCAGATTAGACCACATTAAATGTACATAAATGCAGGTTTATTAGATGCTGCTCCCAAGTGGGTTCACTGGTCCCAAGGGAAATCATGCACCTGGGCTTAAGGCAACAGGATTTCACAGATCTTTCGTGAGGGGTGATGACATGTCAGCTAGGAGCTGGGATGGGCAGGCACTCCTGGGTGGGTTGCCTGAAACAGAGAGATGAGGGGGGATGAAGTGTTTGCCCAGAGTTTTCTCCTGCAGGCAGGTTGAGGGAAGGAGAGCAGATGGGGTCTTCCAACTTGTGCAGAAGCAAGCAGGGTTTCCAAACAAACAGGTGGCACACACCTATAGTCCAGGGGTAGGAGAATGGTGAGTCTGAAGTCAGTCTGGCTACATAGCAAGCAAGCAAGCAAGCAAGCAAGCAAGCAAGAACTTGTCTTAAAAATAAACCTACATTTTATTTGTAAAATTTAATTATTTTTATGTTAGGGTTCTTAAGATTTCTCTTTTCAACAATCTAAAATTTATTTTCTGTTTGGTTGGTTCTGAAAAGCCTTAGTATGTATCTACATACATATATATCCATTAACACTACAACACTCAAAATTGGGAATATAAACAATTTAGACCTCTCTAAGAATATTAGTAGCAAAACTATGTAAATGTTAGTAAAATTCTTTTTCCTAACAACCTTAGTAATTTAAGTAAATTACAAATTTGATGTCTGGTATTTAACTTTTTTGAACATCAATAACCAGCCAAAGATATACTACTAACATTTCACAGCTAGTTGCATGCTTCTGTAAAAGGCTATACGGCTGTGACAAGAATCTACAAAGTGCAACTGTAGACTTTTTTTCTTGAGTAACATTCCAGATGTCAATCGCCCACTCTGGCTGTTCATGACTTTATTAAACAAGCCACCCGAGCTAAGTTGTTTGTAAGGAATAAATTCCCCAAAGAACTTCAAGAATGCAGAAAACAGACACTGCACGCCACCTTTGCCAAAGGGAGTCTTTTTAAAAGTCTGAAGGCACTCCTGCTGTCAGTTATACTGAGAGGAGCTCTGGAAGCAGTTCATACTCAGGTAGAACAGAGCTTGGCTACCACCAGGCCCCAACCAGTTAGGCTCTAAGGAACTAGTGCTTGGAAGAAGAAACCTGCCACTCCTGATTAATTGCCCTGTCCAAGGTTTAACCTTTTAAATTTAGTAGCATAGAGGGACCACTTTGGAAAGGCTGTGAATACAAATTGAAGCTGGGTGAAGGTGAGCCCTGTTTTGAGTATAAACACCTGCAGTCACTCTGAGTGACACCACTCCCACCCAAGTTTGGGGAAGATAATGCTTGAACTAAAAAACAAACAAAAAACCATCCAGAAACTCTGAATTAAGAAAAATTAAAGTCCGTACTCATTTTCATATACTTCTAAAAAAGTATCAGTTGTACCCTGACCTGCTGTTATGTATAAAATCATAGCATTTAAAAAACAGACAAAAAGATAGTAAGTTAAGAAAAAGAACTTCCTAATTGTTTAAAAATAAGAAAAGGCCTTACTGTTTCTAAACTTAATTTACATAAAATTCCATTCACTCTGCCCATCAGTTATCCATCAGGCTCAGCATCTGCTTTGACAGTCTATACTACAGAGGCTTTCAGAGGCCCTCTGTGGCAGGTTCCAAGGTTGTTTCCTGTTTTCTTCTGGCTTTCAGAGGCCCTCTGTAGCAGGTTCCGAGGTTGCTTCCTATTTTCTTTTTCTTCTGATGTCCATCCTCTTTGCCTTTCAGGATGGGGATTGAACATTTTAGTTAGGGTCCTCTCTTTTGCTTAGTTTGTTTAGATGTACAGATTTTAGTGGGTTTATTCTATGTTTATATGAGTGAGTATATACTATGCGTGTCTTTTTGCTTCTGGGACAACTCACTCAGAATGATCCTTTCCAGGTCCCACCATTTACCTGCAAATTTCATGATTTCCTTATTTTTCATTGCTGAGTAAAATAAATAAATAAATAAATAAATAAATAAATAAATAAATAATAAATAAAATTATTTTTTAAATAAATTTACCTTTATAGCATACTCTGCTTCAAATTAAACTTTCATGTTAGTATTTATATGTGAGCATGGCTGTATAAATATTTACCAAATAATTTGTCAGTTATATAAATATATGAGCAAAAGTGTGCTTTTTAAACAGTCTAAATGACAGAGAAACAGGTGTATTTGAACTTAAAATGTTCTTTTGACTACAGAAATATATCTGCAGCATGAGAAGCCTATGCGTGGAAGTCATTACTGTTCCATTTTTGAAAACTGGCTCTTCAAGTCTGCCAAAAGTAAAGTTATATATTTGCAGAAGTTTCATTTGTGATAGTGTGTGTGTGTTTCTAGTGTAAATCAAATCTGTGTTTCTAAATGCAATCTGTGTCTAACCTCTCTACCATCTTCTCACATCTCAGCCCCTCCAGCTCACCAAGGGTTCTCAACATCCAAACCTGAGTGCCTGTGTCCTGAGCAGTGACATATCTGCAGGAAGAAGGCCACATTTCCAAGATGACACCAGACCTTCTACAATTCTCTTATCCTTATACCTCAAACTTTCATGCACATAATGGCTGTGCATTAAACACGTCTGTGTCTTTCACACTCTCACTCTAGTATTACCTGAAACGCTAATACCCTCTCCATTGCCATGTATCTCCAAGGGTAATGCCTGTGCAACATGCCCTGTGAAGCTCTAACCCCTCAGGGTCTTAGTCTTCTATTGCCTTAAGAGTCTACATACATGTTTCTAATAGGAGATTAACTTTCATATCACTGTAATGCATTCATAGGTCTCATAAAACAAAGTCTGGCAGTTAAAAACTTGACTTGTATAAGTCACAGGACATAATTTTCTTTATGTATAAGTAATTCTTGCTGCCTTTGTAGATATGAAGTAAGCCAGACCAAGTAAAGCCAGGCCAGTGTTTCTCACCTAAGGCTGTCTATTAGCCTCCCCAGGGAGCTTTATTGACACTTGAGTACCACCCCAGCAGGCTCTCCTGTTTTTAATTTGAGATACGGCCTAAACACAGGAGGTTTTAACTTCTCTGGTGATTTTTAACTTGCAGCTGAGGCTGAGAATCTCCATTAGCAACTTTCAGGCCTATCAACTTCATATAGAAGCTTAAAGAAAACCATAGTTTAATTCAGCCTATTATAAAACAAAATTTCAAAAACTTGAATTTAATGTTATTCATGAGTTGGGGATATATCTCAGCAAAAGGTTTGCTCAGCATGTACAAGACGCTGAATTTGCTCGGCGGATGGCACATGCCTTTAATTCCAGCTGTTGGGATGCAGAAGGAGGAGGGTCTCTGTGAGTTTGAGGTCAGCCTGGTCTACAGAGTAAGTTCCAGGACAACCAAGGCTACAGAAACCCTATCTCAACGAAACAAAAAAAAATCATTAACAGACTATTAACATAACTTTGTTTGCTTAGAAGTCTTGATGTCTGTCAAAATAAGCAATGATAAAAAATGTAGTTAAAATGTTATTTATGAACAATGTCAACATTCAAAAATTACATTGATCTAAAGCATTTTAGACAATAAACATGTGACTCTAGCATATTTTTTAATTGGCATAAAACAGACAGAGAGACCGTTTACAGTAACGAACAATAAATTGTCTGGATTATGCTAGAAAGACCTTAGGAGTAAAAGGAATTTGAATTTCATCTTAAAGTAATTTTAAGGTTTAAGGGAAATAAGCAATTCTACAGTGTTCTAAAGCTTGTGATACCTGAGAGCTAACATTTTAACCAAGACTGAATTTTATATATTTTAACATTTTGCCTACATAAGAGCAGAATTTAATAATGTACTAACTTCTAGAAGTGATTCAGGATTAAGTGACTACAATACACAACTATTCTTCCTTATATCTCGCTATGTTTAGGATCTCTAGGCTCATCCAGAGGTTACCCTGAGCAGTCAACCTTTGAAAGCATAGCACTGCTGCCCTCCTGTGGACTGTTTTGGATATTGGCTATCTTACCCCTTCACTGTGAGGTTGTCATTGCTGGGACTCCAGAGCCATTAATTTTAGATCACGTAAAACACTAGCTCTCTTCTGCTTTTGTGAAAGTAACATTTTCCTTGTTATTCGCTTCTGAAATATGAGGGAAATATAATACTGGGGACAGAGGTGAATGTATAACTTCCCTTCTTGCTTACATACATACAGCAGGTGAACACATTGCCACACACACAATGCTGAAAAACTACCCACTTTAATACCTGACATGACTGGACAAAATCCAGTAAGACCTGAGTATAGGTAGTAAGACTGATGTGAGGAATAGCTTTGAAGACTGTTATACATTGCAATGCTAAACCCTGTGTGGAACCAGCAGAAACATGAGCTCTAGTGTTTGGGGCTTGTGGCTTCACTGGGAATTATCTAATGCTTAGGTAAACACGTTAAGCATGGTGTTGGAAAAATTAAGTCATCTGATTACCTACCTCCACAAAGTCTCATCAAAAAATATTAAATCTGTACTTGAGGTGAGCTTAAACCATGAAGAATTTCTTCTGTAGTCTCCCATAGCAATATTCTCAAATTGATGTGCAGGTTAATAACATCATGATCTTGTTAAAAGGTGAACACTGATCAGAGAAGACAGTGTGAAGGCAGTGTGACCCCAGAAGCAAATATGACCCTGCTGCTTTTGAAGCTTGAGGACAAGTCAAAGAACACAGCCTGTTTATAAACAGTCAAGAAACCTATTTTTCCTTCATATTTCTGAAGGGTTTGTGTTTGATAGTACCTTGATTTCAGTCCAGTAAAACCGAAGTCAGATTTCTGCTACTCAGAGCTGCTAAGAACGTTGTGTATTAAGACATCACATTTGTGCCAATTTGTTACAGCAATGACAGGAAATGTATGCGCCAACAAAACAGCTGGTAGCATAGAACTATAACCAATATAGTACAGCCTTTTCAGAAATACAGAAGTGGCTCTCAACAGTGGCTGCACACTAGATTCACCTAAGCCTCATTCTGAGACTAGCTAAAATAGTACTTGCTTGCAGGCATGGGACCTGAGGATCACCAATGACCAAAGTGTGCCCCAGAAAAAAACACACTAAAACTATCTTAGGCTTCTCTAAAAAGTACAGTGTGCTAGCTATTCCCAAGTCTGTATGCCAGCTTCCATACTGAAGGTCTAGACCAACTTCTTAAAAGATAGGGTCTATACTTAGCTCATTTGATATATTAATCTGGTTGCAGAGCTTCCCCAGTTAACAAAAATACACTGTAGTTACTTCTAAAAAGTCTGGTAAGGCTCAAGTTAATAATGTGTCAACAAAAGATTTTCTACCTGGGTTAACAACGTGGTTTTATAAGCCTGACTCAGGAGGGTGTTACCAAAACCAAAATCTACATTACCAGTCAATTATGAAAAACTACCCCAGAGTGACAATTTAATGTAAAACATTTAGATAAAACAAAACAAAACAAAACAAAACAAAACAGCCAAGAGGTGTTTGTTGAGGTAGTTTAAGCATTCAGTGAGGGTATTTTTATAAAAAAACTTAAATCACTGCTTTTGTGTTTTGATATTAAACTGTCTCCCAGCACTTAACTCATTTAAGAAGAACTAGACTCATGACCTTGGGGGTGTTTCAATTATATTTTCAATACAAATTAATTGGGAGTTTTGGACAGGGTAGCTATGTTATATAAAAAAAGGCTTAATTTGTAGTTAATATCACAAACCCAATATGTCATACTTTAGAGGTGCTGCAGTCTCCTACTTTAGTGGGGCAAATTAAAAAATACAGCTGAGGGACTTAGCCATTCTCCCCGCTACATCCTAGGACTTAGGACATGGATTATCAATCAAAAGCTTGAAATAGCTCTGCAGCTACAGGATGTATCATAGTCATTGGGAAGTCTTTCCAGCAAATGCTCCAGCAACCTCCTACTTCTAGCAAAATGGACAAGAAAGCCATCTGGGTTAAGGCTATTGGTATGTAGGCTCAGAAAAAGTTTCCTGAGCAGCGCATTTGCCATCAGTTATTGAAACCTATGGGCTTGAAATGACTGTACTGTCGGTAGTTCATAGTTAGCTATGCAGCTCCTGTTTTTTTCCTGAAGGCTCTCCAAGAATGAACCTTGCCCCTGAGTGCTGTCCAATCTGGCAAATCTCTGAACAGTTTTACAAAATTCTCTCACCACCTATTTAAGAGCTGAAACAAACTATCAGCTGAAAGTAGAACTCCATCTGCTACAAATGTAACTGAAATTAGCCTGCTCCCCTTTAAGGGCCACATGACAGTATAGTTAAGTAAGTTCCCTGCAAGCAATACAGGAGGAGAGTCAGAGTTCACAGGTCCCTTGGAACCAAGAATAGTCTTCCCATTTAATAAAATCCCTCAGCCTAGCGCTCCAACCTTCTGTCTCCGCTAATCTTTCATCCTTATAATTTCATTTCCATTTAGTGACCTTCATTTTTAATGTCTATATGCAGCAACCTACTTCTAATTCCTTATGACTGGCACAGTAAATTAACTTTGTAGGGCCCAGTTCTCATTGCCATAGAGTTATGAATGAAAAAGAACAGATATAAACACAGACATGATAAATTGAATATTGCAAAATTATTTATTAAAGGTGGGATGCATCAACATACTCTTAACAGAAAGATGACTCAGCAACAACCAGTTCATAAAATTCATAACAGTACATGTCAGAAATTGCAACTGAGGATATCAGATAAATTACAATTTAGTTAAAAAAACCATTAAGTGATTTCTAACTTCCAAAACCATATACATATGCATTAAAGAAGTTAGGAAACTGTGTTCTTCCTTCTCTGCTCTGCCCATGTAGGAAATGACAGGCTGCTGTTGACCAGACACCACAGGGCTCTGAGGCTGGTGCTTTTCCCCCTACATCATAACCGATTTCAAATGGTGCTAGACAGAAACAGACTCTGAACACCAGGAGAAATCGGTCAGCCTGTGTAAGAGATGGGCCAGTGGTGTTCTTCAGGTCTGAACCTCAAGGCAGGTGACAAGTCTGCTTTCAGCTGTGATGCAACCAGGACTGAGTGCTCCAGGTATCTTCCAGGTGTAGGCAGGCAGTATTGATGTGAATGAAGTAGTCCTCCACATACACAGCCCTCACCCTTTCCTTGCTATAATCAACACCCAGAACATCACTGAATGATGAACAGTGCAAGCCCTAGCCACCTTCCCCACCCACGGAATGCTGGATAAAGTAGATAACTCTTTGCCCCTGATCATACCCTTATATTTATTCTGAACACAAAACTTTCCTAATAAAACCTCTAAACCAGATGAGAAAATTTCACTATTCAAGTCTTCCCTTGATTTCTTGAAGGAGAGAGTCAGTCCTGTATACAGCTGCTCCTCTGTAGTTTATTCTCTGCTGTGCTGCAATTCTTACTCCTAAAACACTGATTTCAAATGGTGCTAGATACAAAGATGGAAAAATCTAAGCCACCATGTGAAACCAGCTTCCAGAAGAAGAGGATCTCACTGAAGAAAGCAGAGAAGTGCAGTCAGAAGATTCAGACTCAGCCCTGATAATCACCTTGCCTGTCAGAGGCAGATGACCGCTATACAATGCT